ACCCCGTACCCAGATGGGCCCGGCGTGAGGGTCCCGGTGGAGCACAGCGTGCGGCCGGCGGGTGGTGCCCAGCAGGTAATAGAACAGCCAGAGCAGTGACAGGCCCTTGAGCACGGCCAGCAGGACCCACACGTCACCCAGTGTGATGGCCACGCTGTTGAAGATCATGCTGCCGATGAAGGCCCCACCCAGGAATACCACGTTGACGGCCAGGAGCCCCGAGAAGAGCTGCCCGGCCTTCTGGGCCAGCTGGTCCCGCCGCAGTAACAGGGACAAGTACAGCACCAGCCAGGACTTCTGCTGGGTGGGGCTGGCTGCCCCGGGCTCCTCAGCCTGTGTGTCCAGCTGGTTCTCTTGGTACACTCCAGTCTCCCAGTTGTCTGGAAGTGGTGTGGCAGGAGGCTCTGCAGCAGGGACTGGATAGGAATGAATAAAGAGTGCTGGGTTGGTTGCTAGGTTAGCTTGGGGGTTATGGCACTACCTGTGGATATAAAGTGTTCTAAAAGGCCCAGCCAGCCTTCAGCAGGTTCACACCAGGAGTGTCTCCTGGGCAGGAAGTCTGTGCTGTGATTAGGAATGCGACACTTTTTGTTGGTTTGACTTTTATAGTGTGTGTGTTTGATTAGCGTATTACCAGGTTGGTACCTCAGCATCCCATATGGGTGCCAGTTTGAGCCCTGGCTGCTCCATTTTCTATCCAGCTCCTTGCTAATGTGCTTGTGAAAGCAGTGGAGGATGGGCCCTTGCACCCACATGCGAGACCTGGAAGAAGCTCCTGGCTCCTGGCTTTGAACTCGCCCAGCCCTGGCTATTGCAGCCATTGGGGAGGGAACCAGCATATACAAGACCTCTCTGTCTCTGTGTGTCTTTTTGTAATTCTTTTCAAACAAATAAATATGTCATTTAAAAAGGTAATGTATTAGTCATGTAAGTATATTTCATTTGCAAGTACATGAACGTTTAGGGGGAGAGTCGCGGACTGGCTCTGCACCACCCCTCCCCAGCGGGGTTAGCCAAGCACTCCTGCGACCCCCTGGTCCCGAGCTGTCCCATCTCACTTTTGGCTCAGCCCCGCCCTCTGCCCCTCCTGCCTCCTGGCCGGCTCCAGCTGCTCCTCGGGACTTGCAGCAGGGACCCTGTCTCCTCTAAGTCTTTCCCTCTGAACCCCCCAAAGCAAGGTACCTCCCAACCCGCTCCCTGCACCCCAATCACTTGCTGGCAACCTCACTCCATGGGTTCCATTGTAGCCAGCTGTGCTTCACTCTGGCTCCCTCATTTTGTTGTTGTTGTTTAATTTTTAAAAATGTACTTATTTTTATTGGAAAGGCAGATTTACAGAGAGAAAGAGAGACAAAGATCTTCTGTCTGCTGGTTCACTCCCCAAGTGTCTGCAATGGCCAGAGCTGAGCTGATCCAAAGCCAGGAGCAACACCCCCGCCCAGTTTCCCATGTGGGTGCAGGGTCCCAAGGCTTTGGACCATGCTCAATTGCTTTCCCAGGCCACCAGCAGGGAGCTGGATGGGAAGTACAATAGATGGCACATGCACTGATGCCCATATGGGATCCTGGCACATACAAGGTGAGGATTTAGCCACTGAGCCATTGTGCTGGGCCCTCTGATTCCCCCTTTAGACCCTGAGCTCCAGGGACTTAAGACTGTCTCTCACTACAGCCACCCTGGACTCTGCAATCGCACCTCTGCAGACCCCACAGGCCCCTGTGCGCCGGCACGATGTCCTTGTGTTCTCCTCTGGGCAAATGGAGTGACAGTGCGTGGGTCTCTTTTCAAGGCTGCATGCTTTTTGTGCATCCCCACCTGCTCACTCCCTGTCAGCTCCTGGCCTTGCTCCAGGCACCTGCCTCCCACTGCCTGCCCCAGGCCCAGGCAGAAGGCTCCTGATTCCTCCTGAGGGCTCCTGACCCCAGCCAGAGCCTCGAGCCAGTTCTCACCCCTAGTCTCCCACTCTCTCTACCCGTCTGCTGGTGGCCGCTTTGCTGGGGCTGCTCCGCTCTGCTGAGAAAGCGTGTGACCTGTCTGGCTTGCGATGGGTGTGCTCAGTTCCTCTCAGGGCCAGCACCTCCTCCAGGACAGAGACGCACTAAGCTGACCTCGGTACCATGGATGTGACGTGATGCTTACCCCCAGGGACACCCGTTGACTTTGGCCGAGGCAGTTTCAGCACCAGAACGGTGGACAGAGACCCTTCCCGTTTAACCCTTTCCACCCCTGGCCAACCCCCATCATTTCCTTCCAGCCCCGTTGAGCAAGGCAGAGGCCCCAAGGACACCTCCCCGCTCCTCTCTGCCATCCATCACCACTCCTCCTTGCCCTTCCCAGAACCTGCCCAGCGCATGCTCCCAGGCAGGACAGCCTAATGGTTAAGGGCTCAGATCCGGTCACTTTCTACTTCCGCAGACCTCAGATGCCTCAGTGTTCTCACCTGTGAAATGGATCCACAACTAAGGACTTAGTGCCTAACAGAGCTGCTGCTACTACTACTAATCTTGGGAATGAATAAAGGAAGGAATGTGTGATACCTATTTGGCAGGACTAAATGATTTGATAAGCACCCTTACCTAGTTGGCCCTCTGGGCGTCTCCCTCCAGCTCTCCGGGGCCTGGAAACACCCACAGGGTCAGGGCTGGCTTTCATTTGGGGGGGAGGGGCTTGGTTAGCGGTTGTTTTTGCTCAGACTTCAGGCCTAATGGGTTCATCCTAGAGGTACAAAATTCCTGGCCCTCTCCCTCGGTGCGGGGGGCGGGGGTCCGGCCCACTACCAGACTCCCACCCTGGGCTCCAACCTTCCTTCGTGGTAGGGCAGCCGCGGAAAGTAACATTGACTTTGCGACTGCACAGGATGCAGTGGTGGGCGTGAAGGGGTCACAGGAAATGAATTAGGGCGAGGGCGCCCGGAACTGACGCACAGGCGTCTGCCGCCCCCTGGCACGCCCCACGGCGGGATGCCAGGCCTAGGGAGGGCCCAGACGCCAAACTGGTTTGTGGGCTCTAGGTCGGTGATGAAAACCGCGGAGCTGAGCTGTCGGGGCAGGGCGGAGGGGCTGGGGGTGCAGGACCAGCTCCAAGCGGGCTGCTCAGCGCTGCCCCGGGCCTTCGGGTTTCCCGCGGAGGCTCCTGAGCGGCTGCTGGACTATGTAGCCTGACCCCCGGGCGTCCAGGCAGCCCCCACCCCACACCCCCTGAAGCAGCCGTCATCTTCCTCTCCTGGCTCCTTCCTGGCTTTGTGGGGTGGGGTGGACCTCGTTAAACCTCCACAGGCAGGTGGGGGAGGAGGTGGATGGGACCGGGTGGGTTGGGGAGCGCACAGGGCCCAACCGGGGTCGCAAGATGCTGCCCTCTCCCTGGTGGCCCCAGGGCTCCCATTCTGAGTCTGCAGTTACCAGAAAGGCAGGACCAGCGGCCCGAGGGCGCCGGGAACCTTACCTGAGTCCTGGGCAGTCATCGCCGTCGGCTTGACCATTCGTCCAGGTGAGGCTCAGCCACCCAGGCTGACCGATGCCCCTGGTGCCCTCCTCCCCCTGTGTGTGGGTGCTCAGCTGCCGCTAGGCTCCCTGGCCCATCGATTTTTCTGTTGACTTTGGGAATCTTATTAATCCCTCGTTAATTACAGGGCTCGGGCCCAGACGGTGCAGCCAATGGAGGAGCTGCCCAGGGAGTGTGCAGGCGGAACTGGAGGCGGGCCCAGCAGGCAGCCTAGCCTTGCACTCCTGCCGGCCCTCACCCTGGCTTGGTCAAGAACCTGCTGGGGTCCAGGTCCAGGACGCACTTTGCTCAGGGGCCCAGCTGGGGGTGACACCCTGTGTTCCTGTCCCCTACCTGGCACCCCTCAGGGGTATGACAACCTGGAAGGACTTCTCTCTAAGAGCCAACGTGAACTTGGGGACAAGGTCCAGCCAGGATTTCCTTGGAAGTTCCCTATGCTCCAGTAACGACTGTTGCCAGCTGGCCCCCAAATGCCATCTGCTCGCACCACAGTGGCCACCGGGCCCTTCATCTCTCCCAGCCCTTGCCCATTTTGGCCTCCTTTCCAACCTTCTCTCACCCCCTGACCTTCTGGGAGGCCTCCCTCCTATATGCCCATCCCTGTACCCCTTGTGTGTCCCCGAGAGGCTGGGTTGGGGTGTGTGTACTAAGGGGAGGCCCAGGCAGTGGAGTTCTGAGTCCCCCACTTGCTGATCTACTCCAGCCGCCGTGTGTGTGTGTGTGTGTGTGTGTGTGTGTGACAAGCATGGGTTCTGTGATCCTTTATTTGAAGGGGGAAGTGGCTCTGCAGCTGGGAAGGTGTTAGTCGTGGTAGAAGCATGCTGGTGTTCTGAAGCTTTGTGACCCTGGGGGTAAGTCACGTCGCCTGTCTGGGCTTCTGTCTCCTTCTTGGTTGAATGTAGACATAGACCAGGCTGGTCCTTCCAGCCTTTTTTTGCGTCATGGAATACAACAGGATTACATGTGTGTACCAGCTGGAGAGAGAGAACTGGAAGGTGGCAGGTGGGAACTCTCAGCTTCTCCCAGCTACACCTCTGTTAGCTAGCCTGTAACTTGGACTTGGCTCAAGCACTGCGAATCCCCAGGGATGTTCCAACGCTGACCACCCCCAAGACCCTCTTGTGCAGCCATCTCAGGAGACCAGCAGGGGGAGCCAGGGGCTACATGGCAGGTTTATTAGTTCCTTGCTGCAGGTGCACACTGGGATGAATCATAGTGCCCTCCCAGTCGGCATTTGCAGATCTTGCCTCTCCAGGGAGAGCTGCAGGGAGATGCTGCTCAGCCCTTGGGGTCACGCTGGGGTGGCTGAGCACCTCTTGATTGTGATCTAAAAACTCATCCTGGAAAAATAAATTTGGTGCAAATTCCACTCTGAGGCCAGCAGGGGGCGGGGTTGGTCGTATGGCTCCCTGGACTGCCAGCCTGGGGTTTGCTCCTGGAGGGGACGGCTGGGTGCAGGAGCTCCCTGCGGCCTTGCCCCGAGGCTGGACCCATGGCTTCAGGACAGCACATAAACCTCCAACAGGCTGGACACGGCGTGCATGCGGTAGAAGATGCCGAAAGGCAGGCAGATGTTCACGATGGCGGCCCAGAGGGAGTAGCCGTAGAAGTCCACCTCCACCGTGTTGCTGAAGTGAGGGCGCGCCCCAAAGGCTGGCATGACCCAGAGCTGTGCAGACAAGGAAGGGTGTCCATCAGACCCTGCTGGGAATGCCTCCCCGGGGATCCTGGCTTCCTGGCTGGATGTCACCCTGTGGGGACCCCGCTCTCAGGAACACAGAATGTGTGAGCTTGCTCACTCCTAGCTGGGTCCTGGAGTCACCTCTTCCACCTGCCCTCTTCACTAGCCCACTTGTGTGGATTGACAGTTCTACAGATGATGGGAAAGTGGGGTGCAGTTGATTGACAGAGCAGCTGAAGAGCTGTGTGCACAGGGTGCAGTTGTGGTGGTGGGACCAGCAGATCCCCGCTCACATCTGGCAGAAGGTGGAATCTAAAGTCCTGCTTCCTCTCCGGCTATGCATTCACCTGGTGCAGCTTGGGGGTGTGTGTGGGGGGGAATTAGGCAGAGAGTTGAGGTGTATGGCTTGGCTTCCTCTCTCCCCCACCTACCCCTCTCCAGATAACTGTGGGGGACACACCCAGCTTCCCTCCAGCCTCATTCTGCCCTGAAAGGTGATGGAGATAGGGATGACACTGCCCAGGGGCCTGGCATGGCCCAAAGCTGGCCCAAGCCATGATGTGCTTTTTGAGCCTCAGGGCTTCTAGTGGTATGTGTATGGACCGTGGCTGCACGAGCGTTTTCCTGTGGGATGAGCTACACCCTGTGCACCTGTCGGCGGGGGCTGTTGGTTTCCTCATGGCTGAGCTCACCCTGTGGTGGTTGCTCTGGAAGGGTGGAGCCTTGTTAAGCTCCATCTTTCTACTGCAGGTGAGAACTGAACTGGCTGGCCTCATAGAACGCTCAGTAGCGGTGTGTTTCCCATTGGGGCGTGATCTGCAGGTGCTGGGCCCCTTCCGCACTGCTGCATAGGGTTGCCTTGGCCCCTGCTCCTCTGCTGCCTGCGTTTCTAGACCTGCAGACACGACACATGGTGCTGATTGTCTAAGGAAAACCAGCAACAGAAAGCCCCTGCTGGGTGCAATCTTTGCTTCTGAATATTTACCTTCCTGGGTTGATTGCATCTGGGCATGGGACCTGTGGATCCCCATGGGCATGTGTCTCTTTCCTGGGGTCGTTTTAACACTGGCCACTTCTATCTTGGGGTGTAAACCAAGCTAGAAATGTCTACACTGGGCTGCTTTCTGCCTTGGGGTGTCCCCTACAGAGAGGGATTGGGCTGAATTCTCTTGCTGCTAGCAGGTGGCTTTGCTGAGTCACAGGGGAGGGTCTGCTGCTGTAGCTGCCCTCCTGCTGCCTGCCCCTCACCTTCCCAGTGGGGCCACCACTGCTGTGCCAACAGATCGCTCACACTTAGGCTGCTCTCTGCTACTTCCTGATGGTGCTCCAATTATTCTGAGAAGCAGACAGGTCACAAGTTCCCAGGAGCAGTCACACCTCCCACTTGGGGGTGAGGGCCCCCCTTTTCCACATCAGCATCCAGCTCCCTCTCACCTCTGCCCAGCCCCCACACTGGCATGTCCTGAGACCCCTCTAACTGCTGTTTGCCTAGGGGCTGGAAGATTGGTATTTCATTCCCTCTGTGTGCCCTGAGATGCTGTTGGCCCACGGACCCTCTCTGGCCAGCTGGGTAAGACAGACAAGCCAATGTAGCCTTCCTCAACCTGCTCTTCCTCCTCCCCCTCCCCAGCCCCGCTCAGCTACTCACAATGACATTGCAAAGCAGGAGGAACAAAGAAATATCCTTCAGACACCGGCGCCTCCAGTGGCTCCTGGGGGTTGAGATGATGGCTGCTGCTTCTGGAGGGCCTGCTGGGCTGGGGATGGCCAGGTCAGGTGTTGGGGGGCAGGCGGGCAAGGTGTGGAGGGCATCCAGGTTGACAAAGGTGAGGCCTTGGCAGGGCTCCTTGGGAGCTGCCTGGGGGGACTCAGCCCCAGGTGGTCCCCGGTGCAGACTCTCAATGATGAACACATTCTGGAAGGTGTGCTGGGCGATCATGAGCAGGGCGTGGGCCAGGTTGAGGCCGGTCAGCAGGTCCCGGGGAGTGCCCACTACCACGGCCACGATGGAGTAGTAAGAGATGGCGTACTGGCCCATGGCGGCGCCCATCAGCAGCGCCACGTCCAGGGTGCGGGTGGGGTTCTTATGTTGGTCCATGGCCCGCCGGTCGAAACGGTAGATGATGGAGCCGCTCAGGCTGACCAAGGTCATGAGCCCCAGGCAGACGATATGGAAGCTGTAGTAGGCGACCAGGGCCTGCTGAGTACGGGCCCCCTCCTCGCTCACATGGACCTCGTAGATGATGAAGACGGCCAGGCCCACCACAAAGAGCAGCAAGCCCAGGATGGGGCCAGCAAAAAAGGTTTCACGGAAGAGACTGACCCGAGACGGACTGTGGCCATGGCCGTGGCCTTGGGGGGCGGTCAGCAGCCTACCCACGTTCTTCCACATGACGTAGAGCATGGTGGACGCAAAGAGGCTGTACTCGATGTTGAAGGGGTACAGATAGAAGTATCCCTGCTGGAAGACCTGGCAGGCTGCCGTGCTGCAGGAGCAGGAGGAGTCTTCAGCACGTTCCACTGAGGGTGGAGAGACAGAGACCTGCAGGGAGGCGCCTCTCCCCTGACCAGGATCTCGGTGAGGGCAGAGTCTGTGTCTGCCATACTCAGCACTGTATCCCACTGTGCTGGGCCTGGCACATTTGTTCCTTCCATGCATGACTGTCTACCAAGCACCTGCTATGAGCCAGCCAGCACATCACTGCTCAATTACAACCGTGCCAAAAAAGGTCTAAGCCAGAGCACTGTCCTCCTGCCACCACTGCATCCCTTCGGTCCTGCCCATAGTGGCCCTGGAGACATACACGTTATAGAATGGGCATGCGAATAGCACCTGTCTCATAGGGAAGCTGTGGGGTTGAACTGTGCCATAAAGCTGGGGAAATTGCCACCACTGTCACACCCCTGGGGCCCCTCCCTTGCAAAGCAAGATGGAGAGCTCAATAGTGGCACCCAGGCTGTACCCTTGACGGTCAGAAGATGACCTTGGAGCTCCCTCTCCCTGCCCCTCTCCCCCTTGCCACCCATACCCAGATGTCGGAGGCAGAACCTGAGGCAGGAAGAGGCCCTGGCTTTCACCCTTGTCCTCAGGTTGGCACGGGAGACTGACCCAGCCGAGGGCTGGCAGGCACTCACGGTCAGTGGCCAGGCGGGAGTAGCTGGTGTTGCTGGGCGAGTTGCTGTAGGAGTGTGACTGGTGTATAGACTCATCCACCACGGCTGCCATCCAGATGGCCAGGTTGGTGGTGAGCGTGAACATGAGCCCAAACCTGGAGGGGCGAGAGAGGGGCAGACAGGGGCCCTGTGAGTCCCTGCTCATTCTGGGGAGATGGTGCTGGGGGCGGAGAAGGCCCCTCCCCATGTGCACATGGAAGCTGAGTTTGGAAGAAGCACGTAGCCTGGCCGGGAGAGTCACGGGGATGTTCCTGCTGTCCTCTCTCCTGGGGACAGCATGGGGGGCGTGGTGAGGCCAGGGGGTCCTGGCAGGAGATAGAGGAGCAAGGAGCCCTGGGCGGGGACGGGGGTGTAAGCAGGGTGGGGCCCTGGCATGCTGGGAGGACGCCGGGCTGCGGCTCTCACCGGGTCAAGTCCAGGTGCACGTGGATGCAGTCCTTGGCAGAGACCCAGAGGAAGTAAGTCTGTACCAGAAGAGAGGGTGAGGGTCATGACCCCGGGGTGGCAGGGCGCCAGGGAGCCCGAGTCCAGGCCTGTGCCCCGTGTCATGTTCCCTGTGCCCCAGGATCCTGTCTTCGCTCATCAAGTTGGTTTCAATAAAACGAGACCTGAAGCATTCTCTCCTTCTAGGCTACCACACCATGGCACAACATAAGGACTCTGTCTTCAAACATTTGCAAAATGTCCCCTTGGAAACTCTCCAGCTGCAGTGGGGTTTGGACGGTGAAGACAATGGGGCTGAGCTCGGTTCTGCCCGCCTGCTTTGCTCTCCCTGGGAGCCAGGCCAGCCTCTGGTTGGACCTCACACCCACCTGACTGCTCGGAAGCTCTGAGCTGCAGCTTGTGGATATGGGGGTGTTAGTCTTCTCATCACAATCTCCAAACTCATAACAGGTAAGAGTCTGGGGCCTCTACATGTCAAAGTGACACGTGTGTTCAACTGTGGAGACCCCAGGCAGCAGGGGAGGTCCCCACCATGGGGCCACTGTGGTCAGGGTCCAGGGCTGGGATCCATTCTGGTCCCAGACAAGACCAGTTCTGCCTTAGTTCAAACAGAAGAGTTTTCAAAGAGCTATTTAGGTAGCAAGTTGAAAAGCAAAAACGAGAAACACCTGAACCCATGTGAAAAATCAAAGTTGGATCTGACATGATGGCTCACTTGCTAATCCTCCACCTTTAAGCGCCAGGATCCCATATAGGCACAAATTCATGTCCCAGCTGCTCCACTTCCCATCCAGCTCCCTTCTTTATGGCTTGGGAAAGCAGCAGATAATGGCCCAAAGCCTTGGGACTCGGCATCCCCAGGAGACCCAGAAGAAGCTCCTGGCTCTTGGCTTCAGATTGACTCAGCTCTGGACATTGCAGGCATTAGGGGAGTGAACCAGTGGATGAAAGATCTTTGTCTCTCTATCTCTCTGTAAGTCTGCCGTGAAAGAAAAGAAAAAGAAAAAAAAAGAAAGAGAAAGAAAAGGAGAAGAAACCCAGAGTGGCAACATGCCCCGTTTCCTGGACTAAACCGCATGAGGGGCAGCAGGGACTGCTGCTGTAACAATGCAGCTTGGGGCTACTCCACAGGGCAGTGCTTGGGTTGGAGTCCTGACTCTTCTGATGCCAGCCTCCTGTGAATGCACACCCTGGGAGGCAGCAGGTGGCAGCTCTAGTAGCTGGGTCCTTTCCATCCCTGCGTGAGACCCAAATGGAGTTGCAGGCTCCTGGCTTCAGCCCCACCATGCCCTGGTTGCTGCAGCAGTTGGGGGGAGTGAGCCAATGGGTAGAAGATCCCTGTCTTTCAAACGAAAATAATAACTGATAAATATATAAATAAATAAAAACACAGACTGTGGCTGAAGCCAAGCCAGCATGCTCCCAGCAGAACCCTGGGCTGACACAAATGTTGTGTGTGGGCACCAAAGAGGGCCAGACCAGCTGCCACACTCACACCTCCCAGGTGTTAACTCCGGGCATACCTTCAGTAGGACTGGCACTGCAGGGCCCCTAAGCAGGTGCTCACATTTGGATTACTGCATAGAAACGGCTTCCGTGCTTACAGTTGCCTGGTGCCCACGCCAGCCCTGTCCCCAGTTTCATTGCCCAGGTCTCCTGAGCCCTCGCTCTCAGGGCCACCTTCCTGCCCACCTGGAGAATGACAAACACAGCCTGGATAAGGGGGTACAGGATATTGATGGCCGACTGGCACTCGAAGAAACTGGAGTAGTAGCCGGTCTTGAAGACATCCATGACGAGTGTACAGGTCCCAAACAGCACCAGCCCACCTGGGAATGAAGGGGACCATGGCAGGAGGGTCAGGGAGGGAGGTGGAGCTAAGGCAAGGGTGAGGGTGGATGAAGGGGTGGGAAGGGGAAGCAGGTGCATGGATGCATTGATAAGCTGGATGCGGATGGATGGGTGGCCCAAAGCATGAGGCTGTGATTGGGTAAATGATGGGCAGAGTGATGGTTGAGATGGACGGGGGATGGGAGGCTGAATGTGGTGGGTGGAAAGGTCTCTGGCTTGCTAGGACCCAGCCATATGCTCACCCCAGCCTTCTTGGGGTGCAGAGAGGGGAGTGGACCCTGAGTGGGCACCCTCAGCTGCTGCTCCCCTCCAAGGTTCTCCTACAGCCTCCAAACTCTGGTCCAATTCCTGCCCTTTCAGGTCCCTCTTCCTCCCTGCTCTCCAGCACCCTGTAGGCAGCCTCACCCGTCCCCAACCTCCACCTTCATACTGCTGGACCCTTAACTCGCAAGGGAACCTGCGGCCTCGAGCTCAGTCCCTGCCATCTCTCCTCTGCCCCCTCCGCCCCCGGGGCACCTCGGAGCCAGATGGGACCGGCGTGCGCATCGCGGTAGGGGACGGCGTCGGGGCAGCGTGCCGAGCGCAGGAGGTAGAAGAGGATCCACAGCGCGGCCAGCAGCATCATGGCAGTGAGCAGCGCAAAAACGTCGGTGTCGTACACGGCCACCTTGTTGAAGGCGCCGCCACTGACCAGTGTGCAGGCGAGGAGCAGCACGTTCACGGCCAGGAGCACCGACAGCAGGCGGCCACCCTTCTTCCACACCTCGCGGGGGCCAGCGCGCGGCGCCGGCGGCCGCTCCTTGGGGCCGGGGGCCGGCTCCTCCGACATGGCCGTGGGCGGCAGGAGGCGGCTCGGAGAGGGGAGGGTGTCACTGCGGGGCAAGAACAAGCAGGGCCCCAGGTCAGCCTCCACAGCGTGCTTGTCCGTACCGCATCCCTAGACGTGGGCACCGAGGCGTTTGTCAGCCAGAGCCGGGACAGGGACGCCGCGCTTGCTGGAGGAAGCGCTCGACGGGAATGCGAAGGGACCCCCTGGGATGCGTTCGCAGCACCAGCGCCTGCCCTGAACCGACGGCCCCCTGCCCTGCCCCAGGTACCCTTACCTGGCTGCGTCGGGAGTCCACGCTGCGCTGGGGGGCAGGGTGCGGCGAGTGTTTCCTCTGCCCCGTGCCAGGCTGGACCGGCGATTTATACCCCGGAGGGTAGGGTGATTTACAGCCGTGGGAGCCCGGCGCCATAAATCCCTCAGTCCCACTCACATGATCCATCTTTCCTGGGAGCTGAATTTAAGGAAGAGAGCAAGGGAGCCAGATAAGGCGCAAAGGGCCCCCACCCCCGCCCCGACACCCGGGCGCCGCCCTAGCCCCGCACTGCGGCACCCGGAGGGCACCCTGTCCCTGGAGCCCACCGCGCACAGGGTCCTCAGGGCTGGCGCTCGAAGGATGCTCCGGGACCACCATGCCCCCAGCCCTGGCGCACCTGTACCTCCGTGCTTCTCGGCTGGTGGCCCCCTCCTTCCGCCGCCGCGCCTGCTGCGCCCCAAGTTCCTGCTTCCTCTGTCCCTCCCGCACCCCATGCCCAGCTCCACCGGGTGCCAGGTCAAGCTGCGGACGAAGTTCCCACGCGGAGTCCGCAGCCAGGCCTCTGTCGCCGCCTGCTGGCCGGTCCTGCCCGCGGACCGTCTGGGGGTCGGTCTGCAGGCACCTGCAGGCGCACGGTCCCCCTGGAGCCTGCCCTTCCACCCGGCCCCCCACACCCCTCCCCAGCCCTGCCCCCTGCTCTTTCGACGGGAGGAGAAACCGCGAGCCACAGCCATCGGGTTTTCGTCAGCATGCACCCCGAAGTCTCCCGCAGACTGAGTCTGTTTCATTTGGGAAATGCCCCGCGGTGGGTACTTTTCGGGGGAGCAGTCAGGGCCGTGCGTGGGCCACGTCTGCGCGCGGAGGGAGGCGCAGGGTATTTAGGACCCAGGGGAAGCCCGGGGCGGTGCCCTGGGCAGCGGGAGGTGCCCCCTCCCCCGCACCGGGTGAGCGGCTCGGGTGTCCCCCGCAGCTGGCACTCCGCAACCACCACCTGCGGCGGCAGCGGGGGGCTGGCGGCCCCGGCCCCTGCCCGGCCCCCTCCCCCAGCCCCATGCCTCGGCCCTAACCCCGCCGCCCTCCCCTGCGGAGGGCGCTTCCCCGCGCCCCCTGCCCGCCCCGTCCATGCCGGGCGCCATGAACGACCAGTACCACCGCGCGGCCAGGGATGGCTATCTGGAATTGCTCAAGGAGGCCACCCGGAAGGAGCTGAATGCCCCCGACGAGGATGGCATGACCCCCACGCTCTGGGCCGCCTACCACGGCAACCTGGAGTCGCTGCGTCTCATCGTGAGCCGCGGGTGAGTCTTTGCGCCCCCGCCCCCACTATGCACCTCCATTCTTGCTGGCTGACTGTCCCCTTGGGTGGGGGAGGGGACGTGGGACGGACCCTGGACCCCGGTATGGGGAGGGCGACACGTGAGGGGAGACACGGGTGCGCACGTGACTGTTGGGAGCACCATGTGGAGTTGATGGGGTCTGAAGTTTGGGGAGCCCATGTGAGGGTGCTGCAGGATGAGGGGCAGGTGAGAGAGATCTCCTGGGTGGGGCTCACCTGCAGGCAAGAGTGAGGGGTCAAGGGGGAACCCAAGGGCAGGTTGAGGTTCCTTGGGGACCCCACAAATGGATGCCAAGAAAGAGAGGGTCTTGGCTGTCTACCTGCCCCCAGAGAACACCCAAAGGGCTGTCCTAAGGGCCCCAAATCTTCCTGGGACCCCATCTCTTACAGCTGTCCCTGCTCATGCCTTGAATTTGTGGGCACTGTCCCCTTGCCAAATGTCACGGTTCAGCCATCCCATTAGCTCCTTCTGTCCCATTAGCTCCTTCTGCAACCCCCTCCCCAACACACAGTGGATGGCTGTGGTGGGCTCAGCTTGAAGGGGCTTCTCTCCCTCTTCCCCCCTCCCTCTGGAACAGTCCTCAGGGGGAGGGGTGGGCAGGGAGTCCAAGGGTCAGTCAGGAGTCAGAGGTAACGGCTAGGCCATGCAGAGCCCAGGGCCACTACAGTGGGCTTCTGGTGCCAGGCCCTCTGCCTGGGCATGGAAAACATGGCTTGGGCACCCGGGGTCTTGGCAGGAACAGGGCTGTCACCCCCTACCCTGCCACCTTGGCCTTCAGGCTCAGCAGCTGGAGGGAGCAGCCTGTAAGATGAAGCAGTAGAGCTGTTCCCTGCATCCCTCCCTACCCAGGGGGTCCAGAGAGACACTGGTCCCCACCTGCAGCAGAGGACGTTGGCCCCTTGGTGCACTGGAGCCGCTGGCCCTGACAGGGGCTGAGGACCGTGCTACATGGGTGTGGGCCTGACGCCAGGAGCCCCTGTGGCTGGCTGGCCAGCAGGAAAGCCACGGAGACAAGAGAGTGATTCTTCTCCCAGCCTGGGGAGGCCTCATGGCCTCATTAGGACACAGCCATGGTGTTGCACCAGCCCCAAGCGAGGCCAGGGCTCAGGAAGAGCCAGGTGGGGGAAGGGACTGCCCCCTTATCCCGACACAGGCAGGTGGGGAGGGGGCCGTCGGAGTCTCTTAGGGCCCTCGAAGACCCTGAGGAAGGCGAGGAGGGCAGCTGAACGCTTAACCTACATTCTCTTCCCCCTCCCATCTGGCTGCCCCCACAGTCCCCTCCCAGCCCGGGCCAAGACCCGACACCTACTCTCACACTCAGCCTTGCCAGGCCTGGCCCTGCTCCCTGCAGCCAGGGCCAAGCCTGAGACACCATGCACGGCCTTGCCTTGAACACCCCCCCCCCCCCAGGCTCAGGCAGGGGTACCCACCACCCCCTCTGTCTGTCCCCTTTCATCCTCACCATACGTGGCCACACTCACCCTCACACTTGCCTAGGGCCCCAGACTCGTCCTGGCCCACCACCCCACCGGGCCAGCTCCCCGCCGAGCCCCATGAATAATTCACTCCTTTCTCTCTGGGCATCAAATATTTATCCCCTGAGATTCCCAGCCCTCAGTTCTCTGGGGGAAGGTCCCGCCCTAACCCCGCCCCCACAGGCCCCGCCTTCCCCGTACTCCGCCCCCTTCTCTGCAAGTGCGGGGATGGGGAGTGGGGAGCGCGAATCTTCTCCCTGATTCGGAGGGTTCAGGCCTACCCAGCTCCCAGGCAAAGGAGAGCCGCTCGCAGGCCCACTACTTTTCCAGGGCTGGGAGTCCAACCTTCCCTGCCCTGCACCTGCGGGCCACCCCACCTGCAGCCGCTGCCTCCCTCACACCTCCTTTTGTGCTGTCCCCGCAGGGGCGACCCGGACAAATGTGACATCTGGGGCAACACGCCCCTGCATCTGGCAGCCGCCAATGGCCACCTGCACTGCCTGTCCTTCCTGGTGTCCTTTGGGGCCAACATCTGGTGCCTGGACAACGACTACCACACGCCGCTGGACATGGCCGCCATGAAGGGCCACATGGAGTGTGTACGTTACCTGGATTCGATCGCGGCCAAGCAGAGCAGCCTCAGCCCCAAGCTGGTGGGCAAGCTGAAGGACAAGGCCTTCCGCGAGGCGGAGCGGCGCATCCGCGAGTGCGCCAAACTGCAGCGCAAGCACCACGAGCGCATGGAGCGGCGCTACCGGCGCGAGCTGGCCGAGCGCTCCGACACGCTCAGCTTCTCCAGCCTCACGTCCAGCACGCTGAGCCGCCGGCTGCAGCACCTGGCGCTGGGCAGCCCCCTGCCCTACTCGCAGGCCACGCTGCACGGCACGGCCAGGGGTAAGACCAAGATCCAGAAGAAGCTGGAACGGCGCAAGCAGGGCGGCGGCGAGGGCACCTTCAAGGTCTCCGAGGACGGGCGCAAAAGCGTGCGCTCGCTCTCGGGCCTGCAGCTGGGCAGCGATGTGATGTTCGTGCGCCCTGGCACCCACGCCAACCCCAAGGAGTGGGGCCGCGCCCCACTCCGGGATATGTTCCTTTCGGACGAGGACAGCGTCTCCCGTGCCACGCTGGCGCCCGAGCCCGCCCACTCGGAGGTCAGCACCGACTCCGGCCACGACTCCCTCTTTACCCGCCCCGGCCTGGGCACCATGGTCTTCCGCAGGAACTACTTGAGCAGCGGGCTGCATGGGTTGGGCCGCGGCGAGGACTTGGGGCTGGACGCCGCGGCGGGCACGCTGCGGGGCCGTCTGCGGAGCTCTCCTAGCCTGGACGACGACAGTCTGGGCAGTGCCAACAGCCTGCAGGAGCGCAGCTGCGGGGAGGAGCTGCCCTGGGATGAGCTGGACTTGGGCCTGGACGAGGACCTGGAGCCCGAGACGAGCCCGCTCGACACCTTCCTGGCCTCGTTGCACATGGAGGATTTTGGTGCCCTCCTGCGGCAGGAGAAGATCGACTTGGAGGCGCTCATGCTGTGCTCTGACCTTGACCTCCGCAGCATCAGCGTGCCCCTGGGACCCCGCAAGAAGATCCTGGGCGCCGTGCGCAGGCGCAGGCAGGCGTTGGAGCGCCCGCCCGCCCTGGAGGACACGGAGCTGTGAGTGGTTGGCCTGGTGGAGGGGCGGAAGGGGTGAGGAGGGGTGAACCAGAGTGGGAGGGGACCTTGGCAGGGACGGGGCTGGGAGTATGCACTGAGTTTGTAACTTGAATAGTTGACAACTGGGGGAGACGCCCCTGTGCCCCTTGCTCCTTGCTGCCTTTCTTTTGGCTCTCTGGACTGTTCCGTGGTCGCAGGAGGCAGCAGTCCCTAAATGAGGCCAACAGGGATGGGACCCTCCCCACCCAGGAGGGCCCAGGAGGGACACTGCCTCTTCCCCCATCCTGCTGAGAGGTTCCCACTTCATTTGCCATCAACTTTGCAAGAGGTACCAGCCTTGACTGTGACACAGGGCTGTCTTGTCACATCCCAGCCAGGGTACCTGTGGGGCCTGCCACCTCCCCGGTCCTGGGGCTGTGCTTTGAACCAGTCCTCTCACTTAATCATCCCGCGTTGGTGCGTGGTGTGCACTCTGTCACCCCCACTTTACAGTGGAGGGGCCCGTGGGAGCCCCGAGGGGCTGGACAGCTTGCCACAGTGCCGCATCTGCTCAGGGCAGAGCTGGACCTGTAGCTCTGGCACCCAGGAACGTGGAGACTCTGTGGGGTGTGGGCGTGCAGCCGACAGGCCTTCTCCAGGGACAGGCTTTCCCCGCCCAGCCTTGGCGGTGGACTTGCTGCATTCCCGGTGAGGATGCCTGCTTTCCTCGGAGGCATCCCTGGGTTTGATTCCAGTTTCCTGGGAGGCAGCAGGTGATGGCTCAGGTTGCTGAGTTGCTGTCACTCGGAAGCAGGCCTGGCTGTAGCCCGTGCCTTGGTGCAGTCTTGTCCATTGGGGGAGTGAACTCTATCTGCCTCCTTCTCTCTCAACTGAAAGGTGGAGTTACAGAGAGGAGAGACAGAGACAAAGATCTTCCTTCTGCTGCTTCACTCCCTAAGATGACTGCGAAGGTCAGAGCTTTGCCAGTTCAAAGCCTGGAGCCCGGAACCTCCTCTCAGTCCCCCACATGAGTGCAAGGATCCAAGGACTTGGGCCATCCTCTGCTCTTAGGCCATTAGCAGGAAGCTGGATGGGAACCGGAGCCCATAGGGGATGCCAGTGGCACAGTCAGAAGCTCAGCCTACTATGCCATGACGCTGCCTTCCCCCATCCCCCGCCCCTTGCTCTGTCCCTCTGGCCATCACAGCTGTTCAAGGCCACTGCCATTCTCATGGAGCTCAGGGCTGCTCCCTGCCTTTTCCGTGCCTCCAGACATCCCACACACCCCACAAGCAGTGCCTCTGCTTTCATGTCTGGGATGGGCATGCATGTGGTGCACAGTCTGCTGTAGAGTTAGGAAGACAGGAGTCAGCCTCAGGCCCGTGTCCCCCAGCCCAGCTGTCACCCTGCTTGAGAGGGGGCTGAGTTGGTCCTGCTGGCAGATACGGTCTTTCTGAGATTGGCCTTTCTCTTCCTCCACAGGTAATCCGGGGCTCCTCTCCACAGACCAAAACGGATTGCAAGGTGCCACAAGCCACAGTGTGGGGGTCCGAGGGCCTCCTCCGTTGCCAGCTCTGTGCTCCCACCCTTGCCTGGGAGCAAGGACCACATAGGAGAAGCCTGTCCACTCCCACAGCCCTGAGCTGTCCTATTACCTGGAGGTGAATGCAAGCGCAGCCCCAGAGGGAGGGCAGCTCCAGATGCCGTCAGAGCTGGATGGGAGCAGGCGGCTGGCGGGGGCGGGCACACACTTGCTCCAGGATGCCATTGTCTTTCCTACCTGTCTCCCCACCCCTGTCTACTTCCTCTGTTGTTTTGTGAAAGGAAGAGTTTGGGCTGCCTCCCCTTCCCTGTGCACCCCAAAGGGGGAGTCCCCAGCATACTCTTCAGCCAAAAGTCCCGACTTTCAGTTCCGCTCCCCCACCTCCACCCTGCCACCCAGCACAGGGCCGTGGCCAGGAGGGGGTAGGGGTGATGGCACCCTTCCCAGCTCACCCTGGGGGTGTGGGCAGAGTTAGGTTGGCTGCAGCCCCAGCCCTGCCATGCCCTCCTCCAACCTCCCCCTCTTCCCCTAGGGCCAGAATGCTGGACATCAGGTGCCAGAACCCCGGCTGCAGTATTAAGGCCCCCAGGCCTGGAGGGCACCTGCTGGGCCGGAGTGAGACACTGTCTGCCAACTGCCCCGGGTTGTCTAGGCCTCAGGCAGGGGCGTGGGACCCCATGGCGGCCTGCTGTGTGGACTGAGCTGGTGTGTGTCCTGGGGAGGGACACGGCAGAGAGGTTTCCCTTGAGATCTGGAAGGCCCCGATTTTGGCCGGGTTGTCTGTGAGTCTCGTTGTGGGAACAGAGAGGACAGCAAGGGAAGGTCAGCCCCGGGTCCTCAGAGCTCACTTGTCCCCAGTTATGTGACCTCAGAACTCTCCTACCACACCCAGATAAAGGAGAGTCCCCCAGGAGCCCTCCTCTGTGCATGCATATTCAGGCCCAACCCCTGGCCTTGGCTGCAGCTGGGGAAAACCCCCTGGTGGGGGCATGGCCAGGACCTTGGGCCCTGGGCCCGCTCAGGGCTCCATCCCCTCTGCCTGAGGCAGCAGGTGAAGGCTGGAGCTGCAGGATGCTGCAGGCCTGGCCGCCTGCCCCGGCCACCCGGGACCCTTCCCTGTCCTTCTCCTTCCTCTTCTCTAGGCCTGAGACTGGGGCCACCTCCAAGTGCCGACTCCCCTGTCCTGGGGGGAAGGGGAGGGCCCAGGTGCGGTGGTCTCAGGCGCAGCCCCTCCCACTTCTGCCTGTGCTGAGGCGGGGCTGGCCCCGTGACTCCTACCGCTGCCCGGCGAGCCCCTCCCTCGGTTTATTATAACTTTTGTAGAGAATGTTCTGCGTCATGGTTGTCCTGTGTCTTGTTCTATGCTCAGCCGAACCCCGGGGGAAGACAGCAAGAGGGAGGTGGGAAGATGGGGGCCTGTTCCTGAGTGGGGCAGGCGTGATTCTCGAGCCCCCCCCCCCACGTGCCAGGCTCACCTCCCACATCCACGTGGGGGACCCGGGTTAGGAGAGCTGGGACAGAAGAACTGCCTGCAGGAGGAGGGGCCAGACCCAGCCCTGAGTCCAGTGCCTGCTGCCCCTTCACCTTCCCCAGCAGATTCTGTCTGGATTTTTCTTGAGCTGAGTGGATACTACACTGCTGAGCTTGCCTTGTATCACTGGCCTTGGGCCCCCTCGTCCAGGGACACCTCCTGTGGGGGCCTCCATTTCCCCACCCCAGGCAGTTTTTGGGGAACCCAACCTGGAGCCCTTCTTTCTCCTGGGATTTGGTTCCTCCTTAAACAAGGGGATAGTGGGCCCTGCCTCAGTCACGGCTGTGGGGAAGGCCCTGGAGTTATCCTGCCTCCTCCTGGAAGGATGTTGTACTGTTGTTGACACCAGGAGTTGAAGATGATCTTAGCACCCACGCGCCTTGCTGCTGGAAGCTGGTCAAGCAATCAGCCCAAGGGTAGAGGTCACCTCCTCCCATTTCACAGAAGGGAAAACTGGGGCCCACAGAGGGGAAGGGCCCGACGCAGTGCGCGGGCATCCCAACTGCTGTCGTGTTTTGTGCACATCCAAGGCACCACCCGGACTCCTGCACTATTCCCCTGAGCCATGCTCTCACAGCGGCCCCTGCTGGCCCTTCGGGTCACTGCATTTACCTCCCAGAAGGTCCCCAGGAGCGGCTGGAGGCCATGGGAGTGAGGAGGGTTGGCAGGGACCGGGATCCGGGATCCGAGGCCAGGACAGCTGCCTGGTGACAGTGGGAGCGGTGTGGCTGGAGGCAGACGCCTGGGCGGTGGTCGCAGGTGCAGCTCCAGACAGCCCAAGGACTCTGCAAACACAAGCAGAGGCAGTATCTCACTCTCACGGCCTCGGATGTCTTAAATTCTTAACGCTGAGAAGAATATCCAAAGGGCTTTGGCCTTTCTGGAATAGGATCTGGTAATAGCGGTGGACAGGTTTCCTAGAAAAATGCATGTTGGGCGCACAGACGTAAGCAGCTTAGCTCAAGAATCCTGTCTCCATACCCCCAGCTTTCTCCAAGATATTCCCTCTGGTTGCATGGGAGGTGGCAGTACCCCGGGGGGGTATGGAGGGGTTGGGGCGGCAGGACAGGCTCTGGCCCTTGCTGTGTGGCCTGGGGTAAGTTATTCAGCCTCTCTGTTGCCTCACCTGTAAGGCAGGTGTTGTAATAACAGTGTAAACCCCACAGGTTATTAGGAGGACGAAAAGACAATGCATGCAGCACTCACCTGATGCTTAGTGCCCATCAGCTAATGATGGCCATGGGAGTCCCCTACCACCCAGCAGGTGCGTCCTATCCTGGCCTGGAGAACTGCACCTCTCCCGAGGCTGCACTGGGCACTTCCTCACCTGACCAGCAGGGGGCATCACCCCCAGCAATGGCTGGTGTTGCGATCAGCCAGGCATGAGAAGGTCCAGGGTAGGAGGGACACAAGAGGGGAGGGAGAAGTTTTGGGGTGGCCAGACAGGGATTCACTCCTGTCTTGCTTTGGGGGCTTTTGGCTGCCTTTCCCCTGCCCCTGTGAAATAGGTAGGTGAATGTCAGCCCCGTTTCCCAGCTACAGGGACAGTCAGATCAGGCCACTCCATCAGGTCCCTGGCTTGGGTCACCCCTGTACTCAGGGCTAAGCTTCCAGGCTTTTATTATCATTTGTTCAGAGCTTAGAAGGTGTCAGGTGCTTCTGTAAAAACCTCTCAATAAAACCCAAGCCCCGTCGAGCAAACACAGCACTGCCTCGTCATCTGCTTTTATAGGTGGGAAACCAGGCTGTGAGCAGTGCTGTGTTCAACCTGGAGGGCTCTGGCGCTGCCAGGCCTTGAGGCCAGAGTGCCCTGCAGCCAACGTCCGTAGGCTGGATCTCGGAGCTGTGCCATCCCCAGTTGTGCACCAGGCTGGGACAATGCAGGAGAGAACAGAGGCTGGGGGTGGGGAGAGACTGGGTCATGGCCAGGTTCATGCGGCCTCAGAGTCCG